CGAACAACTACAGAGTTTAGTTTTGTCTAGATAATGCCAATGTGACTGGCAAAACGCGTCGACAAATATTTTGTGTTTTCAGTGTTGTGGGAATAAACGTTCTGTAAAATACAAAATGTTTGAAAAATTATAAAATTTAATTTTGCGAATTTTACTTTTACTTACTGAGCGTAAACAAAGAAAGTATTGTAATCGAGGGGGGCGACTGGCTACTTTTATATTTTCTAGACATTTCATGACCCATAGAGTATGAAAAATGAGGTCTCCTGATTCAGTCTCTGTGTCGTTTGTTCACATTTTTAGTACGCAGATAAACTCCAAAGCTACCGGACCGATTTTATTTTATATGTATGTTAGGAATATCGTGTTGATGGTAAAACGCTAACCAAAATTTGCCCAATTTCCCTATCAATGTCATGACCAAAGTTAGGCACAACGGAAGTGATGGGCAATCCACCAGACAAATCTTAAAAACGACGGCGCGACGTAAGGCGATAAATTTGGCTGACCGACTGTGCAGTTTCAACCACGTCACAACCTCAGTGGCGTTTGATGCAAATCAGGGTTTATCTAATCAAGATGATCACGAAAATTGTGATGTTGACCTGTCATTGTTAATTCCTAAAGCATTTTAAATCTAGGAGAACTCGTATAACTGAGGAAAACTGAGAAAAGGTAGTGTTATTAAGCATTCTCGAAGTTATAGGCTACGACTGCAATAGCCCTGGCGATCGGACGGCAATGATAATCACTTCCGCAATGCCAAAGTGTGGTCATGACATCTCAAAAATGTTTATAATAAATTTTATAAAATAGCATACTCTTGTATTTGTTTTATTCAATACAAATTCGCAAAATCAATTTTTTTAATTTTTCAAAGTGAGATTTGTGGCACTGCACTTCGGAGGCGAGGGAAGTCCTGTCGATATAACTTCCGACCAATTTTTTTGTATTAATCTTTGCATAGACATATGTGTGCATAAGCACGGGATCAGCTGTAAGTACCTGTTTTTGAACCACCTGATTTCGAATTGGTTGAAACGTTTTCTACTTAGTATAAAAAATTAGAAGCACATTTCCAACAAGTTGTTACAAACTAGTTCACGTGTTGTAAATTTTATTTTCAATTCAATTTTTGAATGTTATTACTTATTAGTCTTTATAATAAGTACGTCGACCATGAACTTTTTAAAATCCGCATAAAAATTTTGACAGTGAAAAACTCTATTACTCCTTAGCAGCAATTACCCACTACGTAATTAAAATTAAAAGGACAGTAAAACGTTTTTAAAAAAGCAAATTTCAAATTAAAACTATATAAAGAAAAATATTTTTGATATGTTTTAAAATCGAAAGAATTGACACGCTCAATTGCAACAAATAATTCCATTGTTTACTGCAGTTTCAGTAAAACAACATTTATACTTTGAGAGCAATTAAGTATAAGTAAGCTGCCAAGGTTAGGGAAGCGTTTGGAACTCCTAAATTTGTTAGAATTTATAAAGTATGTAAAATAGTAATAAATTATCTTCATTAATCTCTGGAGATTTCAATGACACCCTATTTGCCCATTTTTTCTACTCGCTTTCGTTTTGGATAAACACTCTGTCTAATCTATTAGTTATTAACCAATAAGTAAGATCAATCACTGCTCTCTAATTTGTACTTCTGATAACTGCGTCACTGAATTAACTATTCAGGATCACTTACCATCAGTTGATATACTAAAGAATTTTCTAAAAATAATTTATACAGACTTTACTAAATAGAGGGTTTTTCACGAGAGACAAAGAGCGTGCAAGATTTCTTTTCTCCGGTGAGGCTACGTTTTCTAATAACGGGTGTTAACAAACACAGTCTGCATTATTATTATTATTATTAGTATTACTATGCCCTAGAAAATCGTCGATGGATTCGCGAATGTTTAGCGTGGAATATTAGGAAATCAGATTGTTGGTCCTTATTTTTTTCTCGAAACAAGTTAATAGGAATTAAGATACTTGGATTTTATTAGAAATGCTTTACCACTGCTACTAGAAAATGTGGATTTAGAAACTATGAGTTATGGTTTCAGTAGGACTGTGTCCCGTGTCATTATCATAGAATCGTGCGGGATTATCTTGATATGATTTTATCTAATAGGTGGACAGGAAGAGGTTCCGTCAATTTTTGGCCACCGCGAAGCCCAGACCTTACGCCCCTGGATTTTTTCTATGAGACGCAGTCAAAGAGCAGGTGTATCAAACTTCATATTGATAGTGTCGAACATTTGAAGAATAAAATAAAGAATGCGTACAGATCTATCATCTATCACTCCAGAGACATTAGTCCGAGTCAAGAAGTCATTTTTGGAAATTCTCATTTGTGACTTACAAGATCAGCATTTTGAACATGTATTACATTAAACAATGATTGCTTTTTAAAGTCATTAACCTAAAAATGGACTTTGGTGTCAAAATTTCTAAAACAACGGCTAACCATGTGTTGTGTTAATTAAATGTAGGAACGAAGATCTAAGCTACTTTTTAAAGTTCGCAGGCTAATTATCTCGTGAATAACCCTGTATAAGCTGGAATTCATATATTACGGTAGAGAAAATTGTGATAATGTTTGGAGTATGTTTACCATTATGTTTACAACTGCTTTATTCGATTAGAAACACCATCGGGTATAAAGTTAAATTCAACAAAAAGTCTCGCAAATCACAGAAACTTTTTAAACGAACAAAAAAAAAAACAAAAATTGGGGTAAATACAAAATTTCAAGATTACATGTGAATTATGGTCATCATCGGAATTATTCCAATACAGCGGAAACTAATCATATGTCGACAAATACAATTAAGAATTAAATTTGGTAAGTAGTGACCCAAAGGCTGTTTACAAAAAATATGTTAGAACTCAAATGCTATTGAAAGTGTCAGTGCAGAATATCTGTAACAATAAGAATATATTTATCTCTGAACCGAATGATAACTCTCCCTGACAGTGTTTTTGAAACATTTTGCTAAATGTTGTCTTGTTCTTGCTTTCGAACTTAAGCGGTGTGTCAACATTTAGCTTTAAATCGCATTATGACTTGTTTATTTAAAACGTCTACACCCCCTACTGTTTGGCATAAAGTACAGATTGATCACAAAGGCATTTAAGAGCACACAAAAACCCAACCGAATCGACTTATTGTCTTATCCATTTGATGCAAGTTGTGGAAAGAATAATATGGAACTGTCGCCTTCAGTTTTATGAGGAACATAAACATCATCTCTATAAATCAATATGGCTTTATATTTAAAAGATCCACGATAATCTGTTTTCTTCAGTGTCTTAACAAATACACGTTACCTTTAGAGCCAAATACATCGATTTTGAAAAAATCTTCGACAGCGTTTCATCGCCTTTTGGTATTAACTTAAAAAAAGGCAGAATTTGTGATCTGATACGGTAAATACAATTTAACTTGGGTCATCATTTTCTATCATGCGGAGTGTGTTATCAGGTGTGCCACAAGGATCCGTACTGAGACTGACCTTGTTTCTTGTATTCATTTCGTCCTCACACATTATTCAAGTTCATTTCTTGGCTGAATATAACTAGATTTGGGGTTGGTTAATGCCTCTAAATACCCAGAAAAAATATTGGTTAAATTTTAACAGACAGACACTGTCAACAAAATTAACATCCTGAGTTTTATGATACATAAAGGACTATTAATTATTGTTGCCTGACCCTGTATATAACAGGGTCATTCAATATTACCACCTATTTGCTCCAATAAATATTTATTAAACTAAACTATAATCAACTAGGAACACACTTTGTTTCATATGCACGTTAATTCTAGAATGTGATAAGTGCAATATGGCTCTAAGTATAATTCGAGACAACTAATTAATTGAGAAGGTTCAGCGGTGCTACTTAAAAACCGCTGAGACTAAAAAACAAAAGATATGAAGAGACGTACGTCCATCTTTAGAACACTGTCGTCTACTAAATGGTATTGTCTTTATTGACAAAATAAAAATTTACAATTTTGCCAAGATAACCTTAATAAAAATGCATAACAACGTTTGCTTTCTTTAAAAAATGGACAAAATAATGACACCTCAGAAGATAAAATTTCTCAATCAACACAAAAAGTCCTTTTCAATATAATTATGTGTCCAATTGACGGAAAATTTTTGTTTGTTATAATTTCATTTTTTATTTCATTCTTTAAAGGGGTTATCACGTTAGTAGATCTAACACTCGAAGATAACACTAAGCAAAGTGACTCAAACCGTAGCTGAAAACAACTACTGAGGCCTATAACTTTAACTTAATGAAATAGGGAACAATGTTTTTTTTTAATGAACATACCTACTCATGATTAATTTTTTTCAACAATTATTTTGTTTGTGCTGCCATTACTGTTTTATAGGAGTATCCAGTGGCATTGGCCTGCTTACGTCATAGATCCCGTAAAATAATGTCGATTTATGGGCTTCGCAGATCACACTGTCGTAAAACATTTTTTAACCGACAAATAAATATCATTAGTTAAAATAATTCCACCAAAACAAATTTTTCAAGCTCCATTAAAGTACCCTCCTAGATGATGGCATACTTTAACAGTGTCTTAAAAAGTTTTGTCACCCTATTTCAATGTTATTTAACAGGTCTTTGTATGGCATACAGGGTTGTTAGGTAGGGAAGTATAATTTATAAATTTATCAGTTTGTCGAAATAATGGAATCTTATGGACACTTGCATAAGAAAAAAATTCTCACGTCATTTTAACCGAAGTAGAACTAAAACGTTTACGTGTAAGTGATCATTTTTAAGGCTTGATATAATAAGACTGTTTGTATATTTTCGAAACAAGATATTATACGCCATTGAAACCGTGGGCTGCCCCAGTTTAAATCGGTCTGGAAATTGGATTGGGCTAATAGCTTTGCCACAAAGGGACTTCCGTATTTTGAAAACTATCCATTTAAAGATTTACTTAAAAAGAAAACATACCTTCCTGTAGATGTACAAATTTGCAGGCAGGCCGGTTACAAAGACCACGATTAAAATCTTGGCACACCGGGAGGGTGTCCAGTAACTGCAAAAATAAAACAATAAAATGAATTTATTAAACAAAGAAGCATTAACGTATCAGTAATTCGTTATAGTAACATAATGAGCGGGAAAAATTTTTAGAAAAATATTGAAAATTGTGCACATGTATGCAACACAATACAAGTTTTACCTATAAAAAAATAATGTAACGGACGGCATACATAAGCACTACAATATAACCATAACATAAATTAATTCATTCCTTCACAAATTTGGAATAATGCACATGCCAATAGTTATAAAAAATTTAACTGTATCTTTTTTGGTCAGTTGCTGGTTGCAGTAGAAATAGATAGTTCAATCATTCTGCACAAATTCTGATTATTTATTGCCTTCTATATGCTAGGTGCTAAAAGTAGAAGTAATCGTTGTAGATCCGTTTCCGACGTAATCTCCGGTCGTAGTGTAAGACAGATACAAGTTTACAAACTACACATTTGCTAGTAGCAATGTTTAAACGACTATTAAAAATTTCAGCAAATATACCAACAAAAGCTTGTGGCAGCAATAAAGGCCAAAACCATAAAGCAGTGTTAATAATAAGAATGGTACAAGTAGTGTATTTTCATACATGCAGAATGTTTGAAAATCTTTATGAATTAGGCAAAACTTAACTCAATCAGTTACCAAAAGTGGTGCCTGATTGAAGTATGGGATTAAAGCGTAACTCTACGTCAGCGTTAAAAATGAAACAAATATTTTGTTTCGAAAGCATTGAAACTAGGGATGCAATCAGATTGTGATGGAAGTTAAGTTAGTACAACTATTTTTATATTCACAATATGCTTGCACTGATGGTAAAGTGAACAAGTTACAATGATTAAACAAAACATAAATCACTAGTCAGCATTCTACATTTTCAAGCCAAAAATATCATCGATTAAGGCAAACTCACTAAACACACAGAAAATGAAGTTAGTGAAAAGCGACATTGTAACTTGTTAAAGACTTAACAGATTCATGTATGCTGGACCAAACGTCACAGAAAATCGTGTGACGTGCAGTAGGATCGCAGTACAGCGTACATGATGCTAAACATACGTGAATACCTGTCCTTGTTCATCAGTGTAGACCACAAAAGGGGCGTTTTGGGGCACAGGCGCACCATTGTCTATGCCGGCGACATGCAGTAGTGCAGCAAGCCAACGTCATCGCAGCCAATCAGCGTTACGATAACATTACGTTACAGCCATATACGATACCCACCATACACCAAGACAAGTGTTGTTTATTATGTGTGTCAGAGAAGGGTCAAGTGACATTAAGAGACAGAGGTTAGACGAACGATGCATTTTTTTAAGGTGTGTAAGTATAAACGCGACAGTGTGTATGTGGGACAAATTTAGGTGTCGGTGGGTCCCAAAACCATTGCAAACGCACACATTTACGTGTGCCAGTAGAACACAAACAGGAAAGATCAACATCAATCAATCCAACAACAGTTTATGGGAAAAAATAAAAAATAAAAATAGTAAAAGAATTCAAGTAACAGAAGTCACAACGGCGAAAACCAGACAACGTAAGCATGAAATGGAAAACCAAGTTAAATTAATACAACGTCCAGTCATTAGAAAAAGCAAAAAGTATATTCAGACGTCAAACAAAAATCTATGAAAAAAAAAAAAACATACAAAGATAAAACAAATTAATGTAGCATTATCAAAGATTAAGCACAAGGTCAACGATTAAAAAACAAAAATGACACTTCCTATTTGAACATTTTTCAAATATTGTTAGAATTTTTTTTTTAGATTGGTCCATATTCACGAACTTATTGGACTTTCACTTTTATTTAATATTTAAACATGTTTCTATTGTTCGATGCACAAATCAAAATTGATAAAATAATAATCCAAATGCAAAAACTGTTAAAAGCCAACCGACGTCTGAATATACCATCCACATAAGAAAGAAAAAAAAAAAAAGAACATAAGCAAAAGGAAATGGATTAACGCTTGATTGGAAGGAGAGTATCTAACATATGGACAAAAAAATTTACTTACAATGTATCAGTGCTAAAGACCATGTAGTTTAAAGCGATAAAGCAACAGATCTTGTTAGAACAAAAAATAAAAATAATAATAATAACAAGCTGTTACGTGTAGAACAAATCTGCGATGCTACAATTAGTCTATGCTGCTGGATTCTGCAAACATAATATATTTAATGAGGCGTTTTAAATAATGTTGAAAACAAATAGTTTCATGTTAAGATAACAAGTATGATTCCAGATACCTACGTATTATTTTACTTACTACAAAGCTACGGATAGATTTAGCGAAATAAGAAAATGGAGAAAATATAACCGTTGAAAATATACTAAGCTTCTAAAAGTCACGTCTTGCAAAAGACACTACATTTGGTTTCAAGAACACATGATAACCACTTGTGTTAGCTGACATATCCTCTGCCTTTCTCTAAGCTCATTGCGATTTCGATCTTGTGCAATGTGCATATGAAACATAAGGTTGTGCAGAAGAAAATAAGAACAAATATGTCGATATTAATAATATGTATATATATATAGGAACATACACATTTCAGCTTAAATTAACTAAACTAGCCAGCAATGCACATTACACAAGCATTCTGCATGGCGGTAAATGCAGTCTTAATTCACTTTAAGAAAATCAACATTAAAGCCGTTGTTCGCCTGGCTCAAACTGTCTTACATGTTTCTGTTACAGTACAGGTAATAAAACATGCTTGCCGCAGTCTGTTTATCTTTCGTGTCTCAAAAAGGTGGTAAATAAAAAAAAAGTGATTTTGTTTGAAAAAATAATGTAAGCATGTGTTAGTTACTTTAAATAAGCAATAAGTAAAGGGAACAAGGTAATTAAACATACACAAAACACAAAAGATAAACGTAGGGCAAGCAGGTTGGATCTACAGCCTGTACAATGTCATCTTACGTTGTTTAACAAAAGCAAGTTCGGGAGGAGCACACTTCATGTAGGATGTGGTCAGACTACGTTCCATAAATTTTCACCACAAAACAAAACCTAAACAACGCAAAATGTGCATGATATACGTGAAAATGCGTTAAAATATCGGTTTTGATTTGAAGCAATCGTTTATGGAGTCTGGTCTTGAGTTAATTATTGGATACTGGAAAAAATTCAAATAAGCGATGATTAATAAAACAAATATCATGCATTTTCAAGCATTATTATTACAAATAATGGCGGTGATAAATAATACATACACCTCAGGATTAGAACAAATACAGTACACAGTATATACTATAAATAAGGAAACTTTTGTCACACTAGATGGCAAACGTGACCCACACCTTAGCAAAGCGTGATCAGCAGCCTAAAAGGCACTACATTATTGTATAGACGAATTCATCATAGCTGGCAGCTGATTACGCAAGTTGGTGCAGCAAGAAAAGTTGCGAGTCCTTGACGTACTGACCAACAAAGCTGTTACCAAAATAAAAACGAGAATCTACCTCTCAGCAAGAGCCTTTGTTTCTAAACCTGTCAATTACACCGTAATCCTACTTCAAAATGCAATTTTTATAATATATATGTAAATACTTAGATCGACAAATACTTATTAATATTATTACATGCATCACAATTTATTGTGTACCTTATTTTTAATAAGGGTACAAGTGAAACAATTTTTAAATGCTAAATAGTAAGACACATTTTAATTCATATAGCAAATATATAATACATCACATTACCACTAGGTACTACTACCATTCTAGCCTAATCTGTAATTATAAATATATTATCTTGTGAGACGGTACAAATATTTAGCGCAACATAAAGAAAAATGCGCAATAATTCGTTGTATAGGTCTACGTCGTTCTAACGACTAACATGAAGCATATTCTTCATATGACAAATTAAAACAAGACTAGAGAACAACCAAATATTAGTTCCGCATCCAAGATTTTAAATAAAAACAAATGACAGGCAAAATAACTAACAAACAACTACATTTGTGCTTCGAGATCAAACCCAGGAAGACAAAACAATGAAACCACGGCTTTTGGAACAATTTCATGATTATTAAAAAAATCAACACTTTCGCAGAATGAAGAGATTAAAAGTGGGTAGTAGCTTATGGGACGATATACATAGATGAACCCAACCCAAAAAGAGAACTCTAGCAAAGAAATGAAAGTCAAATCTGATGAACAATAACAAACGAAACAACATGCAAAACATGTATTAAGAGAAAAGCCCCATGCAAGTTCGGAATCAACACAAACACAGAGCGTAAAAGGCAAATAATGAAACAAGAGTTGACGTCTTTTTGGGTCAGTTACATACTACAACAAACTTGTACCCTACGGAGATGGCACTTCTAGTTCTAATACAATGCTTAAAAATGTCTACCATGCGAATCAGTTAGGCTTCCAAAATAGTTGTTCAATACGAGTACGTTTTTCATGCATAGTAAGTTCTAACAAATACATTTCACAAAACCTTCCGATACAAAATCAAAATATAACAGACTATGTCTGATCGGCAAATATTACAAAATACTAAAACATTATGTGGTGTTGTACGGGAAAGGATGTTACCTTAGCGGTGCAAATAGCAGGTGTGAGGATATCACAGTTTTCAGGCACTCGCTTTTGGTCCAGGGGTCGCTCACAGCTTCACCCACATGTTTTTTACTATAAACCACGTTCGCGTTTTGACTAGAAATTTTAATTAAAATCCGAAATATTTTTAAAACGATACAATACAATAACTTACTGTACTTAAATAAAATCTAATTATAAGAATTTGGACAACCCGTTTAAAATGCACAAAAGTAATTTAAAGTGCTATCATCGACACGATTTAAAAAACTTCCCATCTTATGAATGCAACCATGGAGAAACTGATAAAAATACGAAGTCCGAAAGTTTTACATGGCAATATCCACAGCCTAAAATATTACACAAAACAAGATATTTAAAATTACAAGTAACTGTGGAAGATTAGGTGGTCTTTAGTTTTTTGTAAGGTTGGATAACTACGTTATTGTTATTCTGGGCTGCGGCAGCAGCAATGTTCGCTGACGCAGAAACATTGGTGATGGGTGCCGCTGAAACAGTGACCGGGTACTGGGCTCCCAGAATGCTACCGCCCAAAAGCTGCGCCGAGCTGACCGCCGGATACGGCGTCCGGATAATAGAATAAGGGTTGATAACGGCTGGCGGAGGCCGGGAAAGGTTCATCAGATTCTGTTGAGCCATCGAATACGGATTAGCCAAGCCCAGATTCAAACCGGCCGTTCCTAAACCGAACGGAAGAGCAGCGGTGGGATAGCGTGCCAGAGCCGGCGGCGGCACAGTCAACGCTTGCTTGTTTAATGCCACCCCCGTGTAATTGAGAGGGTTGAGCTGGTTCAACTGACCAGCGGCTAGTGATTGGCTGACGGCGGCTAGTTTGACGGCTTTCGCGTAATTCTGTTGAGCGACCTCTTTAGCAAGAGCTGCGGGATCTGGTATGGCAGCAGGTTGAGGCAGAGGCAAAGGAGGCAGAGTTGTCGACGGTGCGGATGTCGCAGTCGAAGAGATCGGAGATGATAACTCGTTCTCTTTGACGGACTGGGACACCGACGTCGATGTTGAGGTATCTTGCTGTTGAGGAGCAGCGGGAGAAGCGCAGGATGTGGGAGGTACTGGAGCTGGGGACGCCGAATACTCACATGAGACGGGCACGAACGGCTGCTGCAGCTGCATCAGTTGTTGATAAGTGGTCGCGTTTGGTTGATATACAGGCACTCCGGACTTGTCCGCCGCCGGCCGCTTGTATGGCATCATGGCCGGGAAGGCCTGTGGGTACATAAATAATAACATTTTAATATGAAGTAATGCTTTTAAATTGTTACTCTCTACTACTAGTACTAGTAATCCGAGATCTGAGGTTTGGAAATCCCATTTCTGAGGTGCACCCCAAAAGGCTTGACTTGAGGTTATCGTTTTTTGTACAAGTTTATGTATTGCAATCAATCTAACGTTAATCCGCACGTGATAAATAAATAGTACCGCAGTAAAAATTGTTTGTGATGCATTCTCTACACGAACTAGGCCAATAAATAACAATTTTCTTTGGCCTCATAAACGTAAAAAAAAAAAAGATTTGAAAATTATATTGTGCTCCATGCGAAAGTATTTGCCTTTTTTTTAATACATATTCCATCTATTTTTATATTGTTTTTCTAGATCAAAGAACTGTAACTCTGTCTTTCATTTACAAAAATATAAATAAATAAAATAAAACTGCTATATTAATACGAGAAAACGAAGAAGATTATTAATACACGCGTCTGTATCTACCTACTAATTTGATTTGAATATAGATTACTTACAGAAATTTACGTCCAAGATCACTTAAGCGTATAATCAAATTTTTACTCTATTATCCCTAGAACCTGAGCGAAACTAAATTAAAAAAAAATATTGAATTGATCCATCTTTGATTTCAGGCCTCAGATTTCGGTGTATTTTTGTTAAAATATATTAATTTAAAAATAAAAAGATATATAAATAAAAAAACAAAACATGTTAGTACTTACAAAATTATCATAATAAAATGACCCAACAGATTTCATATCCATCTGAAATAAAAAAAATGTAACAGCTCGTTAGTCTTTGCAATTAGACACTTGGATAAAGTGGATAATTGTTACCGTTGTTTGCAATTCAAATTACCTGCATGCTCTAGAATAGATACAAACGACAGCGATCGGTAAAAATTTTCCACTTCCTATGATATATAGTTAGTCTACAAAAAGAACTATTTCATCTGATAGGTAGTTCATCAACAGACGAAATACTCTCATGATATTAATCACAGACAACAAATTAATAATAATTGTATTTGCTGTAATTAAAGTTGCTAGAATGTTGCGAGTTTTAATAGGTCCACAGTGGAAAACTGTAAAAATTGAAAGTTAAATAAACAAAGAGTAACGAAAGCCAATTTAATGCCTGGTGATAAAATTAATTCAGTCGAATATGTATCGTTTTGATCATGCACACATGTACAAAACTCGTTAAGCACAAAGCTTGAAAAGCGTAGGTTTCTAGGACAATTTTAAATATGTTAAAGGGAAAATTTTTCTAAGCAAAATAAAATAGCTCACAACATGCTAACAACTTGACTCAGGTAGCAGTTCGCGTACTTCTACAACAAAATCGTGTCGACAATAAATAAAATAAAAAAAAGCTTAAAAAAGTGTATCAACAAAAAAGAACGCTGACCTTTAAGTAAAAATCAGACTACAAACTTTCATCATGTGAATTTTATGTTACACCAAATAAAAGTAAAACTGCTTTCAAATTAAACGAATCAGTGCAATATTTTACGAAAAAATTTATTATGAATTAAAAAATGCCACAAACTACTAGTCTTGTTATTCAATACTCAATTTTGCAAGAAAGCATGACCACTATAATTCACAAAGTTACATCTCTAAAAACAAGAGAAGTGAAAAAAAACAGCAACTTTACTGGACAAGTTCGAGCTGGAGTTAATGTTCTTTTGCTGTTATTACAAAACTTGCTAAAGGAAAAAGCATTGCATATTTAAAAGCAGTGGATTGTCAAGATATTTGTTTTAGTTAAACGGAAAAATCCTGCACAACATACTTTAATTAATTTAGATGCAAACCGCTACCCGTTACTGTAACTGTGAATGTGTGTTATTATAATGATTGTGTTACAACAAAAGTGATTTTATATATATTTGCATAGTGTACACTTTCTGTAAAAATTAAGCCGCCAATTACGTTATGGTGAGAAGCAAAAGCTTTAGGATAAGCATAGTTCACAATGAAAACAGGGACATATGATGTAGTGAAAATGATCGGGGTATGATTTATATACAACTAATTTCGAAGGCTTATTGTATGGTGGCGTTCCTAAACACACATGCATGCGATAACTAAATGTGCAAATTATTAATGTCATTTTAAAGGTAACACTAAGGTAGCACGATAAATACTGTACCCTGCCATCATTGTGAACATGGATGTTGTCATCAGTTGGCGTTCAGTCGGTTAAAAACAGAATTGTGGCGTGGCGTGTACACAATACAAGAGAAATAGTGACATGCAAAGCAAGGCGCAAATGGTACCAGTAATAGATCTGTGTCGGCGGTGCTAGGCTCACGGGGCCTCTTCTTGCCGATTTCGAGGGCGGCGGTAGCCTGGGGAGGCGCCAGCAAGGGCGAGACGGCAGCGGGCTATTAGTAGAGCAGCAACAAGACCAAGCACATCCGCCCAACGGGGTAAATAAAACAAACCAGCACTAAATTAATTCATGTACGCTGACTCTGAGCGTCTGACTATATACTACACATCGTCAGTAGGTATGTGAACAAACAGTACGTATCGGCATGGTCTGGAATGGCGCAAGTCTGGCAGCGATCAAAATCAAATATATATACAATGTGATCGAAATTATTTCCAAGCAAGCTATCCTTGGACGTGAAATAGTATGTTTGCATCAAGTATATTTGACATTTAAAATAAACATACAATTTCATTCCGAGAACAATTCGATTGCAAATTATCTTAATCGCATGTTATATATACAGTGTCCCAGAACTTGCGTGTCACCGGTTAACGTTATTTTTTCTTTAAGCAAGTTCAAAAATAGCTGTCTTTTTTTAGTTTCAAACAGTACGACTTTCGAGTTACAAATGTTAATATATAATGAACTAATCACGATTTTGTATTAGGTGGATGTCATTAACCTTCGCAAACGAACGTGTAGTGCTAAGTCACAATGAAGATTGTATTCACTAATAAATCGTTCTTTTTTATATATTTTTAAACAGGATAAGCTATTCTAACCAAAAGATACAATTGATATAAAACAATAAAAAAATCTGTGCTATGTCCCACTAAATCAAGTGTTGTATATGTGACCTAAGCATAGGAGTTCTAACATTAAAATCTTTAATGAAAATCCTTACTGGTTTTAAAACAATACAACATTTATACAATTTTCATAAATAAAGAAGACAAAAAGTAAAAAGAGGTCGTTCGATAGGTTTAATTCCAGGAATTAACTTGTTTATATCACACACCGAAAAAAATGTGAAAATTAAGTGTCGGAACCCGAAGCGGATCTTAAATGAGGAAAATAAAGATTATTACATATTATGCCCTATGACAACATTTAATTCAGAACAGTGTACAGCCAATTATAATAAGTTCTGGTACATTAACTGTATTCTCTGCCACTACAAATAGACTTTAATCAAGCATGCGCCCACTATTTCAGAATTTGATTAAAATACAGTAAAGACCCATCACACTGATAAATGTGTTGTAACGCCTATTCTTATATGTATACACATATATTTTTTAAATTAATTTAGAAAATTATAAATAGCAATTACACTCTTTTATTACCAGATAATATGCAACTATTTAAATAAACAAACAAGTTTAAATTTTACAGAAATCAAAAAAGTATTAGTAAACCAGGCTAGTAAAATTTCGTATTTATATCAAAGAAAAATGAACACAATTATGTCTATCATTACGTGTATACAGTACCCTTAGTGCTGTAGTATTTTGAGAATAAAATGCGACGGTTCTAACATTGCTGCATACTAGAATTCATTAAACTACCGGTCATTCATCCAGGTTTACTTGATATAAAAGCTAGATTACTCTCATCTAAACATATTTAAAGATAAATTGTCCTGAACAACATCACTAGAATAAGTATTACTATTAAATAGATGTTTTGATATAATTGGAGATTCGGTTTCTTTATAATTTGCCAAACAAAAAATTCTTTTTTTTTATTTTATACTTATATTTTTGTGTCATGTAAGTAGTATGACTTAAAGTCTCTCCTCTCACCTAAAATTCACTTTTTCGTTTACTGTAGCGTGAAATGTATTTAGGCGAAATAAGTTATTTTATTCATATAGCCTTTCCAACGTTTGCACTTATGGAAATCAAAAACCATAGATAAAAGCATTTCCAATTGAAATTTGAACCTAATGTCATTAATAAGATAGGAACACACGAATAAAATTAACGTGTCGAACCGCCAAAACATTTAAAATTCTTATTCAACATTAGTGTTATAGTTTTAATCAAACAGTTTCTTATCAAAAACATATAAAAGCTATTTCATTCACCTAGGATAAGTCAAAAATGGTTGTAATTAGTTCATTACATTCGTTTGTAGAACAAAAATCGTATTCTTTTTATTAATGGAAAGAACAACAGTTTTATTGCCCGAAAAAAATATACGGTAACGGGTGGTACGTGAGATCTGGATTACCTGTAGAGAATACAAAAAAAAAAAAATTGACAGGATATTGTAAATATCAAACATAAACGACTAGACGCAACCCATGATTTTCAGTTACGTTGTCGGCAAACTGTGGCCTCGTTTCATTGCAATCCTTATTATTCTGTTAAGATTTTAAAAATTCTACTATACGCATTTTGGTACTGAATAATAAGGACCATGCAGATGCATAATAATTTCAAAGCAACTTAGCTGCAACGGAAAAGTGTAACGTGAAAAAGTGCAAGTGCTTTCGGCTTCACTTAAAAGACTATAAGTGAAAACTTAAGCTAAAATTAGCATGCAATCTGGAAGCTAAAAAATCATGAGATGCCCGTTCTGGTAATTACAAAGTGTGCAACAAAAATATTTACAAATGGTTAGAAAAAAATATCGACCAATAGCGTTTGGAACTCACATGTACTCTTTGCTCAAGTGCACATTGAAAGCAAATTTTGGAGATATCTTCATTCTAAATTGCGGGATTAAATTTGAAATGAAAATTTTTTATCTCAAAGATCCAATATTCAGTTAAGACGTACAGTTATTTGTTAAGAATCTTGTGAATAAACATTTCGCTAGGCTGACACGAAAGATAAATGTATCATTTAAACAAAGTTCAAGGAATTACTCACAATCATGTCTGATTGGTGTTTTATGTGTGCTAATTCAATGTTCACTTTAAAAAGATTACAAATTCAATATTAGTTCATTTTATATTATTTCTGAATTTATTTTTAGAAAAAATATAGAAAATAAATATTTTTCTTCAGAAAACTGTTTTGCTGTAAATGCTACATTTTCACTAAATGAAACTGAATAATGTTAACTGCTTTAACATTGCAAAGCAACAGTAGTGAAAAGGACAATTATTTGTTTTTCATTTAGAAAATACTGTGGATTTAATAAACTATTATATTACTGCACACTATGTAACATCTACAAATATTGCAAATTTTGTTATGAGATTTTAGTTGTTTTAAAAAACTGAAAGTACTTTTATGAATACTATTTCATAGTTTAACAAATTCAATAAATTTACATTAAAAGGAACGATTTTATACAAGTGCATGCATCTATTTGATAAATAGCAAGCACTTTTAACAACATTCAAAGCAGCTAATTTTAAAAGAAATTAAGACTGAAAACGGGATGAAATATATACATAAAAATAAAACTTCAATTACAGCTCAAGAAATATTCAATTAAAAAGGAAAAGTCTGCACAACGCCACCTGAAAATTCACAAACATGAATTAAAATTAACAGGTATTAAAGCAAAAAAACTGGCAATACAGACAAACATTCTTGACGCAATGATATCACACACCTATAAATTGGTTTATTTCAAGAACACCAGTTCTAAGAAATTCTGCAGACACTGTGACATGTAAATGATAGCTAGGCCAAATAACTGCGTATTTAGATACACAAAAAAGATCAAGATCACACTGTTAAAATGTAGTCTAATTAAGAAGTAAAGTAAAATCATGAAAGTCTACAACAACGACTATCTTTAGTATTCATAGATGTATAACAGAAAGATGAACAGGACGTCCTTCCAAATTGTATTGTCTTTTAGCGTGGTACACAGTTTTCATTTTCTACATTGCTTTCTGTACTAGGACGTATTCGATATTTTGTATTTCTTCACATACTCAAGCCACATAAATTGGTTAAAGAGTAATTAATACATTTGCCACTTATTTACAAAAAGAAAAATAATCGATTTTACAAGTTAAAGAAAACACCGTCCATGTGAAATTCCGATAGCATTATCTATTTTTAAGCGGACAGTAGTTTTCAGGACTTTTGGGTGTACAATTAAATCCAAACATTAATTTGAATGAAGGTGTATAATGTTCTACTCTAGACATTTCTGAAACGAAGAGATAATTTATCTATTGATTAAGAGTTCCTTTAGGAGTTAAAAATCGTTTGGAGTCAAAGTAGCGCCCGACTTTATGCACCTTGTTATATAAAATGATAGAGGTAATAAATCTAAATTTTCCTTTCATTTTCTTCTGCTTATTTCATTATACGCTACTTCATTTTATATAAATAGGGGCAGATGGCATACCTAATGTTTAAGAAAAGGTAGCAAAACTGGCCGCACGGCTTATAAGTGCTGGCAGTGATTTCCATAATTTTTTGCGATATAAAATTTCTCTTCATGTAGGTTGTTGTGTAGTCGTTAACTGTCCTACACTTTCAGTCAACATCCGACTTTTGTTACAGTTACAGTCACAAAGTTATTACATTTTACTTTACAACAAGAGGATTACATTTTTACTAGAAAACTGGTGTCCGAAGAAATTTAAGTGTAGTTTTCGTTCGAAATGAGTGAGCCATACGATCTACCGCGAACAATTTTTATATAAAAAAGAAGAAGTGAAATGTTTTTAAACAGTTTTGATCCAACAGAAACTAAACCGAAAGTACAAGATAGTGCAATGTCACACATACATACATATTATATTGTGTTGAAACATTCTTGTAAACCATTCATTGTTACAATTTCAACGCATAAAAAAGCTCTGTATTCGTCACTGATAATTCTGAAAAAAAAGTTTGTACTTCCAGATTCACCTTTCTACCCTTTTCCCGAAATATATTGTGTACATGTTCGTTTTATACGGTTGTCTAAATGTGTTTAATTTTTAATTCTAACTAATCCAATAGTCTATTAATGACTATATGTGAGTGTACACTTAATATTGTGCGTCAAAGACTGTTAGCAGGGTTTGCTGGCAGAGCATAGAAAGTGAAGATGGCAGCATCCATGCTAAAAAAATATCATAAGAAGAGCATGACCTACAAAAACTATATTTCAGTTGGAAGATTAAAACACATCTCGTATGTGAAAACCGATTAAGCTATATATTTACGGACAACTACATAGAAAACAATACAGTCAACTGCTTATATATATAAAAAAAGGGCCGAGTTAGTTTAAAAGACAATAACAGCACATTTCATTGCATCAGGAATTGCAGTTTCTGCTTGCCATAACTAACAATAACAAACTCTTGGAAAAAGGATTTGCGATCAGAACATTCCCCGGAAAAGTCTTGACGAAACGTTCTTGATCGTGATGGCTGGAACCCTCCCGTTTGTTGAATCTAAATAAATTTATTACATAACAGTTAAAAAAGTGACATGGAGGGTCAACAGCCGTCCACATATAGGAAACAACTTACACCCAAACAAAAAAAAAAAAAAAAATTGGAACCTTCCCCGGAGAAACTAGGATACAAAGGAAGATTCCGCATTTTATTAGTTACGATAACACAAGTCTACGAGCTATTAGCTTGCAAGAAAATGGGACAAACACCATACCGATAGCTGGTGATATTGAATAAGTAAAGGCTATCAGTTGGTTTAATGTCAAATAAAAAATAAAAACGAAAAATAAAAAAAGACAGAATAGAGAAAATAGCGAGCGTGCGCCCTAAAAATGCGTAGCATACCGCGCTAGCCCGCGACTGTGCGGCCTTGATTTGGGCTTGGAGGTGCAGAGGGGGGTGGAAATAGCGGCAGGGGTCGCGGTTGCAGCGGCCCTTGACTGCATCCATGCAGACAGTGACAGTGCCGTCCTCGTTGGCAGTTACAGAGTCAGCGGGATGCGCAAAGCGACACTCTGACTCTGCTCGCTTGCACGCCCCGCGCTGGTACTCGCGGCACACCTACAGCAGACACCCGGCTGTTATCAGCACAAGCCACCGCTGCATCTTATCACTGCCCCGGCTGTCCGATTACCGCTTGACGACGACATGGTTCTGTACTGAACAACGTCGACGCCGAATAACGGACAGTCGGTTGGACGCAGCTTCTACATCCTAATCACCTACGGGTTTCATAATCAGAGCTCTCCAAACAGCTGATCATTTAGTCAGTGTGAGTGGGTTCCGATGCATAAGAAGATTTCAGCAGACAACTCAATTGCCAGAACAAGCGGCATCATAGTATAGTCATGATCAAACTTCTACTACCCACACTCAACCACAGATTGTACTACTCTGTCATATCAAATTGATGATGTTCTGACTTAACCTGAGCTACGTTGGTCTCGCTGGTCATAACTATCTTACTGAAGTCGACACAGTATTGCAAATCCAGAAAGACCACATAGTATAACATTTATGGTCGTGAGTCGGTAGTGAAAGTTCTATGGTGGCTTAATGTTCCACAAATACTATGTGTATCAATAATGAAAACAATGTTTTGGCAACTTAGTTGTCAAAGTTTGGGTGCAATAAGAGTTCAGTGAACAGTGAAAACTAAATGATCATCTAAATCAATAACCTTCTATCGAAAAAGCAAGACCAAAGAGTTACTTGCCGGCGGTAAAAATAGGATGGAGGGTACTAATACTACATAGACAAAATTCAATAACAGCACACCGTGCACAATAAAAATCGATAGAAAGTTACAAGTGCTCGTAAAAAGTATACCAATAAAAAATTCTAAACAGCATAAATGATAAATTTATGTACAGCGAGTACTAATGTTCAAGTTATATATATGTACAAGAGAGGGGTTTGGTCTACGACTATCTATTTCGCTACATTAGCGTGTGTTAGTGTTGATATAGTGTTAATTATTGTGAAGTTTTCTAGACCATTTTAATAACAGGATGCACCAACAAAGTAAACTTATTAGTACCTGAAACCGAAAAATAAATGAAGGGAAAATACACAAAAGTAAAGAAAAACCATGCAAAAAAAATATATAAAATTATTTTTGTCAGAATTTTAAAAAGAGAGACCGTTGCTGAAGATTAGTTTGAACTAAATAAAAAAATAAATAAAATAAAAACATTGATATATACAGTTCCCCATTTCTGTAGGTGTGATATAATCCGACATTGGCACACACACTTCCGTGGTAAAGAATATTAAAAAAACGTATCGTACCTCTAGTCTATCGGAACGAGGCATCTTTTGTTGCGCTACAACTGTTTGTGGAACTACGCCCAATGGTGATCCCACTCCAGTAGGATCTGGACCCATAATTGTAGGCATTATAGGACCCGGTGCGAAATACGGACTGTATGTACTGCCAACTTGAGGCATTCCCGTCAGGTACGGATTGGCGGCCTGTAAGACAAAGTTATTAGCGAGTTCCAAATATTTACTTCAATGTACGAAAAAAAAAAGCAGCAAAAGCTCAGCGAAAATAAGAATAAACGGAAATAACAGTACAATTTTGTTGGTGGAAGTAAGACGAAACGCTTTTGAGAAGGTCTCGGGCACGATGTTTGCAAAGCCTTTAAGATATAGACAGGATAATTTTAGGATTTTTACCATGACTGCGTACTGCTCATCTATTGACATGGAGAAATTGGGGAAGAAGGTCAAAGGAAGGCTGTCTACTGTCGAGTCCACCTCCAACAAAAACCCAATTAGTACCAACACCACGTTACATGCAAAAAACAAGGCAGCGTGCATTCGCTACATTAATAAAATATTCATAAAATAACAAACAACAAGCTAATACCAACAAAATTTGAAATACTTACTACCGCCTGAACTTGGCCAGGAACTAGGGGTTGTCCGGGTGTTAGGCCCATTTGTTGCATAAGTGCATTTTTTAATGCCAAGTGGTTTCTACCGTTTATAAGAAGCTGGTCCTTGAGGTGTTGCGGTGGATGGAAGTACTTGCAGGGAGGTTTTTCTCTATTACATCGACCCTGAAAAAAAGATACTGTTAAAAAATGGTTTCCATAGTTAAACACAACTTATGAACAGTGCCATTTAATCAAACTCCTGTAGCATAACTTCCATATATTTTTCAAGGCATCATGTACCTATTATTATCAAAGAATTACTGTTCACAGCGTTACCAGATAACAACAATTCATCCAATAAAAAAGTACATGTTCTCATAAAGGATGGAGGAATAGCTATTTATGGTATAAGTGAATAAAAGTGTTTGTTTTTGAGTGGATAAAATTCGTTTATTCACGTGTATCATACAAGATTTTTTCCAATTTGCCATAATTTTTCAAAAAATTTATTGTTTAGGTAATCCGTATACATATTAGTTGTACTATTACTATATTTTTTCCAATTTCTACTAATAAAATACTCATTTTGTATGTTAAATCTCGCTATTAAAACAATAGTTTAATCGAAAAGATGAATAAAATGTTTATAGCATGGCCGACTAGTATAAAGATTATGGCCTATCCAAGAGGTACCATACGTGTTGCCATCTATTAATAATTACACTTCACAATTTTGCAAAATTTTAATTTGATTTGACATTATGAGACTTCAAAACGTGTAATGGTGGTTTGTTTCGGTATGAATCCCTTTGTGCCTTTTAAAAAATGTTAATAATTCTTTTCTCGTTTTTGAATTATTAATAGATGGCAGCACGTATGGTACCTCTTGGACAGGCCATAATCTTTATACTAGTCGGCCATGGTTTATAGCAACACTTTATTCACACTGTCATTGACAACACGAATAAAGTAAAAAATCTAAAAATTCGCACTACCACTGAAATTTTCGTTGCTATGGATGTGTGGATATTCAACTAAAATTTGCAAGGCTTGATAAAACTGTAAAACAATCCTAATGAAAGTCCAGGAGCATCGTTTGAATTTGACCGTGACGAAAGTACAGGCAGCTTAGGCAATTTACCTTCTTCAAATGTTCATCATATTAGTAATAGTACAATTAATATTTATGTATATGGATTACCTAAACAATAAATTTTTTGAAAAATGTTGCGAAATTGGAAAAAATCTTGTATCATACACGTGAATAAACGAATTTTATCCACTCAAAAACATTATCACACTCAGCTTCGTTTCGTGTGCGACACTGGTTTTTCGTTGGATAAAATTCATTTTTATTCACTTATACCATAAATAGCTATTAGAAAACTGCAACAGTTTTCTTGAAAACAAACACATGTAGGTTTTGAGTATTGATATGTTATTATTTATTAGTAATTATATTGTCACATAATTTGTTATATGGTTTTTCGTATAACTTGATTTGGAGAGAAGTTGATTCGCTTGTGGAAAGAATGTCGAGTATAAACTGTACTTTCATTTGCGACGTAGAAAAGATAGATAGGTCACTGTATTCGCTGAAAATACGAAATGTGATATTTATTTTACTCAACATTACTTTAGCTTGCTAGTTATGTCCACTACATCATTTATAAAGTATTATGAAAATACTACATTTATGTAAAAAAATATGGCGAAATACTGAATAAAATATTGAGCATTTAATTTCCGTAAATTTTCGGAACATGTTAATAATAATGAATTGATAATATTAACAGTGATAACAAATAAATGAATATATAGTTTTTGCTAAAATTAAAAAAAACTCCAGGGGTGATTTTTATATTATATCATTACAAAGTTACGTATCGAACGTCAAAGTTGTCATCACGAAACATGCAAGCACAAACAAATTAAGTCAATTATACTAAATTTAAGTTTACTATCTCTCTTCAAAATGTTGAAAAACGTCAAAACCCTTTCAAAATCTGCAGAGTTGAGTATAAATTAGTTATAACCTATCTTTGTTTTCCCCCATGTCAAACTTCAATTTTAATGCTACGGTGCTGTCAGTTGTATTTTCAAGGTAGAATGCAGTGTTGGTGGTTTTTAATTTTGGCAAATGCTATAGAGGTGATGATTGGTTCACACCAACTGTTTTTATAATGATACATATATGGAATGATGACATATGTACAATTCTAATGACATATATGTGTTGCAAACTCACTATATACTATTTACGGACACATCGGAAGAATATGAAAATGACATATTTGGAACTTTTGTATGCTTATTGCATTGAGGTAGACGGTTGCCTGTTTGTTTTAATTCTGTAATGGAGTCCGACACATCCCTCTGTAATGTAATGGAACTTTTAAATGACTTGCGCAATTTAACAATGGAAGTACAGACACGAGCTCCATTTTCTGATAAATTTAGTCCTTTTACGACCGCCTATCCTGCGATTGATGATGCAATGATTCGAGCATCCTCAATTAAGCGGACGTGATTCCGAGTTTCGCGAATCGTTTTACTTCGTTTATGTGGTGCTCGGGCATTTATTGGAAATCGGAAGAATGATTTTTGTTTTATCCAGTCGTATTTCCACTTATTTATTTAAATGTTAATCGTAATTTCAAATTTTGAAAGTTCTAAGTAAATTTTTGAAAGACCAGTGTGGCGATTGCTGAAAACAGATTTCCTATTAAATTAGTAAAAACTATTCATCCTTATAACCTAGTAATATGGATGCAGTTCTGAAATTGTTTACGTTATTAAAATTAACAGTTATTATTGTAGAAATTTCGCACATGCAAAAACACGAACAAAGTGCAACAATTGAAGCTTTTGAACCACGATAAATGGGAATCTTATTATAATTCTTATTAGTCATTTATGTAAATCCTAACTGGTAAGCCTTGCTGCATAATCGAATGTAATCCATGCAACTATTTCTAAATATTTCTGTAAAACCGAAGTTCCTTCTTGGACCTAGTAATAACAAACGAAACATTTAGAGCTAAAATGCTAAAAAAATGACAATAATTATGCAAAAATATTATTTCAATCTCGAAGCAAGAGTGGTATGTATATAAAACGTTTTTAAATATCTGTAATAATTAAAAAAATAAATAAATAACATAAAAAAAAAGCCTCATGCAACAATATGCCACTCAAAGTTTTGTTTTATGAGTGAATAAAATATGAACTTAAAAACTGTAACATCCAATATACTAAAGTTACGGAGCTAATCCCTGTGTTTACCCTTACTTTTTGTTATCGGTTTTCGGTACAATTCTTGTATATTTTCTCATGTGACGACATTTCAGAATAACCTTCAATCTCATTTGCACTTGTCTGTATTCAAGCCGGTTTCCCATGCGAGTTGATCTCTGCAGACTGCGATACCATCAAGTTTGGATTACATCAGTAACGTCTACGGTTGAGAATTGGTTCTACGTAGTCGAGTCGGCTGCTTAGCCTTTCGAAGCAAATAATGTCATGTTGCCACAAAACATTCTTTAAAATGTGAATGTATTTTATATTATTTCCTTAACCATTAGTTTTACTGTGTAATGTACAAAATTAATTCATAATTTGTATGAACTGATTAGAAGTTAGCCAAAGACGTATTCACCACTCCAAGGAACTTTTACTTTTACTTATTCATTATTATGTTGCTTCAATAAATGATGTCCAATCACTTATCTGGTAAAATTTTATCGTCAAACATTAAATAGTAAAAATCAACTGACATTAATCTGGAATGTTACTCCGAGAATTAAATGCCAGGTTATATGCCGCCTTATGCGTGGAATGACCTCGTGGCGTGGCACCCCAAAGCGGGCAGCCAACCGAGAAAAGGTTGGAAATGGTAAATGTCACCACGCAAAATATCGCAACGTAGACGCCCAGATGTAATTACATAGTGTATATAAGGTTTTTCGAAATAAAATAAGTTTCGGAGTCACAATGACTATATGTTTTATATAAGTGGTTATGGACGAAGGGCAAAGAGGTGTTTGGAATTATAAAAACAGCTGTAATTGTTGCGGATCATTTTACTAAATTACACTACACTCAAAATCGCTTACCTTGCATGTATGCGCTCATAAATTTTTATTTAGATAATTTTAGATTTAAGAAATTTTATCAAAATTTGGAAAACACCAGGACGATTCGTTAATAAAAAATACTGATAGATGATTTTTATTTCACTACGTGTTAAAACCTTTCAAACTATACGATTATGGATGTAGATTGTGGCCGTACATATTTGAGACAAAAAAATTAACAAAACAAAATCGCAGAAGTGTTTAATGGAATGTTATAAGAAATAATCAGCTCAACTCTTTGATGTGTGAGAAGGATGAAGAAATCACTATGCAGTCAGTTAAGGATGTAAAATTCGCATCAAGAACAAAGTGCATTACCGAGCCTCCAACAGAGCGCGACTGGTGAAGGTTTAAAACTTCCCAAAGTCGGTAATGGCTTTACACTTCGAGCAGTAAATGTTTGCTCGTTTTGAAAACTTCCTAGAGACTTGTAAGTTAACTTAAGCGTCATTTGTCAGGCTGTACAACATAAATCCGATACATGACCGGGTCGTTCCCCAACGACCCAAACGCTTCCATGATCTTGCAAAGATAGAATGGCATGTCGACCTTTCAAAATAAGAAATGATGTAGCAACTGGACCAGAGGCGCCCTCAGAGGGATATTCGCTTTTAAATAATACATTACTATTAAACTACTTTTGGAGTTTAATTCTGGATTTTAGATTATTTTCGTTATTACAACACAGAGAAAATAAATTACTATTGAAGACATGTAGTGACCGGTTAGTGTTACTTAAACTACTAAGAAACTACTGAAAACTTTTGTGCCATCGAAGGTAGAAATAAACTATTTTCGAAGATACTTACCACCACAATATATAGAAGTTTTAACGAGTAATGTGCTCCGAAAAAAGAATTTTGACCAGAAATTTATAGTATTTTTGCACTAGGAAAAAGCTGGTCAATTAAAAATTCATAAAGCATTTGTTATAATAACGTATTAAATGCATTCTTAATGCCTAAAACTTTTGTGAACCACAAAACGTACGCGATAGTTCTACATTAAAGGTATAAAAAAACTTTCTTTTTATGTAATGATCGTCTT